GATGATGATGACGTCTACTATATGAAATGAATGTTTTTTTTTTTTTGGTTGTTTTTTTTTAAACAAGTGCTTGGGATTTATTAGGTTACAATCAGGGCTTGTAAGTAAATGAGTCTTGCTTGAACTGTGTGTACAATCACTTAAAAAAAAACACTTTTACTTATATGTGTTGCCATATATATTGTAACGGTTCATATTATGACTAATACTAACAGTTCACATGTACTTTATGCAATGCAAGCGACATTTCAGTAGACACTTCTAATGAAAATTGATCAAATTTTACTTTAGTGGTGATCTACTGCCAGATGACACTGAATATATAAAGGTGAAATAGATGAGATATTGTAACCTTTGTAAAATATAACTATCATGCAGTAAACACAAGCTTCTATTGTTTTCAACATTTAACTTTTCAAATAAAAATGTGGTGTGTGCCTGTATTCAACCCTAAATTTAAAAAAATGACTTCAGAAATGACCTAAATTCAGAAGCTTATACATTTCACCAGTGGATAATTTGATCTCAGCACCTGCAGCTTTTCTGTGTAGACTTCAGAGGTTTGTAAGACTCCATTACCGTCATGAAACCCAAGTAATAAAGTTATGGCCTAATTAGTTGTGCATTTCCACAGACACTGGAGACATGTAATTGAAGGTGCTCCAGTCAGATATGACATGATAATTCAACTTTTTTTTTACCTACATCCGATATGCTTTGTGGTAGGAAAGTAGCATTGCACTTCACCCACCTCATTGTGACACACGGCGGTGGTAGAATCATGCTGTGGAGATGGATCTCCTCAAATTTGATGAGAAATATCTGGCAGAAACTTGGCAGAGGTTTTTAGAGACTTTGTAGTAAGATTTGAAGCTGGATGTGTTTGTGAGTGAAGCTAGTAGAAGTCTATCACTTCCTTTAAATGTCACGTTTTTATGAACAGAACCTCTCATTTTAACCCAAAAGACTTGCAGCTGTGATAACACCACAACGTGGTGAATGAAAATACGCAGCGACATTTTAATCCACTGCTTAGTGTTTGTTTGGTCTGATCATAAAAAGTTCAAGTAAAAACCGCTGAGGCCATAACCTGATAAAATGTGAAAAGTTCCAGGGTTATGAAGAAGCCTTTTCCCAAGGAACCGGAGGTTAAAATGTCAGAACGTGTTACATTGTGATAGACCACTTGGAGGCAGATTATTCAAAAATACTAAAATATTCATTTGAGAAACTGTGAGCAAATGTTGCTGGACGGAAGGCAAAGACCTCACACTTCAACGCAGCAGGAGGATGTCCGTCTGTCTGCCTGCCTTTAATCTTTCCTGATGTTCTGAAGTTCTTTCAAACATTATTTACGCTTGAATTGTGTTTGACTTTTGCTTTTTCTTTGCGTGGTGCAATGTTGAATGCTTCGCTACTCACATAAACTCTGTGTTTTTCTCCTGCAGTAATGTAAAGGCATGCAGATGACTGCTGCTGTGACGATTTGCCCGGCAGCCATGAACTCACCAACATCTGTTTGGAACCGCGGCACAACAGGCTATTCTGCATATCGGCAATTTACAGACAGAGGAAAAAAAACGTTAAAACAGGTATTACTAGCAGAAGTGAGCAACAAATGTTTTTTTCCAAAAAATGAAAATTAAAGGTTTTGCAAAAAATGCTGGAAAAAGTTGATATCTTACTGGATATCTAAAATCTAGAGATTAAAGCTGATGCCAATATCAAAACCAACTCGAATCTGTATACCATAGACGTTAACAGTTTGTACTACCTTACAAACCTTTAAAAAACATGTCATGGAAATGGAAATAATCTCCAAAAAGCCCAAAACCTTTGTGGTTGTAACGAGGTAAAATGTGAAAAAGTTTAAGAGTTATGAACATGTCTTCAAACCACTGCTGTATGTGAAAAAAAATAAGGTCTACATAGCCCAGTTTCCCTGTGAGGAGCCTGACTCAAGAACATCACAAGAAGACTTGAGCACACAGAAACACCAGAATGCCGGATTTCTCAGTAAGAAAGCTGGAGTCAAGGGCTTCAGGGAGTCATGGGAGTTACGGCCAGACAGCAGGGCCCGTCGTCTGTCACCTGCCGGTGAGTGACGAGTAGCGAGTTTAATCAGATGTAGGAAGTGGCTTAGAAAACATGTAGGCAAACAGGGCGAGTGGAGGCAAAGATGTGAGCCATCTGGAAAATGGGATTAGATCAAAATTCACTACCAACTGTTCACTTCTGCTCTCGTGCAGCACTCATTTGGCTTCAATCAGTGTCATGCTAGGCTGCCCTCCCAGATCGGCTCAGAAATAAACTGTCTCATCTGAGCGGTGCGCGGACATGTTTGGGCGCTCTTTGTCGGGGAGATTTTAATATCCACCTCATCTAGAATACAGCCGGATGATGCCGGAGTTAAGACCGGGCTCAGTAGCACAGAGGGCTGATAAGAACGACAGCCACGCTCACTGATTAGAGAGAATAAGAGAGGAAAAAAAAAAAAAAAACTAAAGGCAGTGCCTGGGGAGTTGCCAATGGCAACCCTAGCTGTCCATATGCTGTATAGACTTATTGTGCCGCTGCGCTCCCTATTAGTGACACTCCTTTGAAGAAAGCAGAATAATCTGACGACATCAGAAGTGTGAGTGCAGTTCTAAAAAGGACGAGCCGCTAAAGGAGACATCCCGGTTTTGTTTTGAGCCTCATTCCCTTTTTAAGCATCCAATTAAATGAACCAAATTGCCTGAAGAGAATGGCAGGAATTCAATCAACCTGATTACTAGAAAAACAGGTCATTAAAACTCTCCTCCGAGTTCCTGGCTGTTCCAGTCAAACTAAACGAAACACATGAACTGGGTTCTGTATCAAACTGCATGCTTGGGGTTTTTTGGTACGACTGGGTCTCACAGCCCTTTAAGAATCCCCCTGAGCGTCAAAGCTGCATGAGCTGCTGTTCTTATCGCGGCGAAGGCTCAAATCCGTCAAACCGAACCGAATCAGACACCAACAAGGCTTTCCGTGCTGGTTTATCTCGTCAAAATTTTGTTCCTCCTTCGTGACTCAGAGCTGGATTCTGCAACTAAGGTTTTCCGTCGCTCAGTTGAAATGTTGTTTTATGGGAAAGGAATGCTTTCAAAGCTGAGTGACCCGGAGAGATGCTGCAGAAAGCTGTTACTGCTGTAAGGATTTGTATTAATCTGCAGCAAGAGGCCAGGGCGAGATCTGCATTAAGTCAAGAGGGCTGTTTGCTGTGGATTATGCTTTTACGTCCATCAGCATAAGCATTTCTAGGTTTTCATGTCATATTTTAACGCTAAGAGAAAGTGCCCACTCTGAGAGCTGCTTCTCATCCAGCTAATGGATGCATGTAGGTGGCGCTTGCAGGTAATCAGAGGCAAATTGGTTACATTTCACCTCATGCTCACCTGAGCAAAAAGACCGATCGAAATGGAGACAGAAAGGCTTGAGCTTATCACCTGTAAGTGTGATTTGGTTGGAGCAGGGTCTAAAAAATGTCTTAAATGAAAAATAATTTGATTTTTAGACTTTTAAATATCTTAAATATGCTCTGACCTTTTTATGCCATGTTTTATGTTGTCTTTTATTGGGATTTAGACTATTAATCCGATTGGTTTTGGAGTTTCTTTGTTTTGTTTTTGGGAGAAATACTTTGGTAGGATTCTTTCATTGTGTGAGTTTTGTATTTGGACATTATTATGTCGCTTACTAATCTAGGAAACAGTAAATAGCCCTACAGGAAGCAATTTATAATCAGGCAGGCAGCACCAAGACAAAGTGAAAAAAATCTCCTCCTCCTACCAAAACTGACTTATTGTAGTTTATTTTAGGAAATCAAATCAAATTTGTCTTTATGCAAACTGCTTTGTCATGGGAAATTAGTATTTTTGTTCAGGTTTGGTTTAAACAACCATACCCACTTGCAAAAATAGCCAACTGAGTCAGTTTGGAAGTGGAGGACAAGGACAATTTAAACAATATTTATGATTGGTTTGTAGCCAAAAGGTCCCACAATCCAAAAACAAGAGTGTGGAGTTATTTGGTCTTTAAATTGTTTTGCGATTATGTGCGTGGACGGATGTTTGCTCTGTGTGTCTCTTTGTTGCCTGGTGATTGACTGGTGACCTTTCCAGGGTGTCCCTCACTTCACAACCTCGAGCTTGGTGTCTGAAAGCTTTTTCGATTTCACAAAATGGCCACATATTTTGATAGAAAAAAGGCAAAGTGACCAAAAATGGTTGCCTTACAGCTTACGAAGCAGAGCAATACAGAATCAACCAGTATAAACAAAGTAAAATAGACGTAACTTGGCTGAGAAAAAACTGGCATCCCTTCCTGTCAACTCTTGTGAAGGTGTCAGTAGTTATTATTCAGATATGAACACCAGTCAAAACACCAAAGATAGTCATACAGTTTCCCAACAGTACCATTTTGATGATACTTCTTGGGAAGCAAAGGGTCTGATGCTCACAATTCTTTTACTGAAAAATGTATACATGATAACTATATATTTAGGCTGCTTTAGCAGACTGGGTTTGGTCAGGAGAGTCGACGTATAAGAGAAAGTACTGATGGATGGACTCACAGATGGTATTCAAGCATTAACTGATGTGGCTTCCCCTTGGATAAGTAAATGGTCTGTATGGCACTTTATCAAGCCCAGAGGACTTGAAAGTACTTTAGACGACATTCTGTCATTCACCAATTCACACGCCGATGGTGGCAAGCTACTGGATAGTAGCCACAGCTACCATCTGACAGAGGTGGAATTGAACCAGTAACCCGCCAATTTAGAGTTGTACTCTTACCACCATTGCCATCAGGGTAGTAATCAACGACTGCCCACAGAAGGAAGATATTAAGATATTCTGAGTGGTGGCAATTATAGTTCTTTAAGAAAAATGGGAAGTACTGTCAGGTCAAAGTTAATCTGTAATCGCTCCCTCTGTGTCCAGCCCCCTGCCTCTGCTCCTGTGGCCCGTACTCACCTGTACTTCATGTTGGTGTGCCGCCCGATGGCCTCCTTCATGTGGGCATGGCCCTGTGGAGTCTGCCGGGACCCAGGGCCCTCCCTGTTCTTCACTGAGCCTTGGGAGACGTAGTTACCGTTACCCCCCTGTCCACCACCACCTCCTCCGCTGCTACCTCCTCCCGATCCACTGCCGCCACCTCCTCCTCCTCCACCGCCACCGCCACCTCCTCCACCAACTCCTCCGCTGCTTCCTCCTGGAGGTGGGGCGGTGCGAAGGCCACAGAGCCGGTCCTCACTGCGGCTCTTCAGGTTGTGCTCAGTGCATGCGAAGGAGACCTGCATCCTGACCTCTGCTCTGTCCTGCAGCGACAGTCAGAGACGGGGAGGGGGGGGGGGGCTTTTTTTTGTTGTTGTTGGAGGAGCGGAGTAAAACGGCCAGTAATGTCTACAAACCACTGGTTCTGTTGTGGCAGCGCAGAGATGCTCATACAAAGGGCTCAGACAGGGCAGGTCAGAGATTTTGGCAGGGAGCTGGTGCGAACAGGCAAGAGTCCAGCCTCTAACATGACACACACCGAGTTACCGTCTGCTCTGTCTCCTTTCTGTTGATGCAGAGCTGGCAAAGGGGGACTCTGAGAGCTTTCACACGCACAAGATGCATCGGGGCTGCCCTCCAACAACCATCAGGAGGGGGTTGTAATCTCTCAAAAGTCTTCAGACGAATGTGGGGATGTGGCGGCTCCCAGGAAGCCCCTGCGCTGTGCTGTGATGGATGCCCTTCCCCACATACATGCACCGGCTCCTTCGGCTTGTGTTGGGTGATACAGCACTTGCCAGCTTGCTGTTTTTCTCTTCAGCTAAGGCTACTTGAGTCTGTCTTGAGCTGAGGAGCTGCCGCAGCAGGAGAGACACAATCACAGCCACTGGCATCCTCACTCCAAGCGTCAAAAAAAGGCATCTTTGTTTTTTTTTTATTGTTGTCACTGTAATTAAGGGGGGGGGGGGGGGGGGGGAGGTGAAAAAAAAAGAGACTTTAGTGGCTCCAATTTACATCGCGAAGGAGGAGAGTCCCGTACAGGATTCACACATTCAAAGCCCGCCGATGCAGCATCATCCTCATCCTCACCATCCTCATCATCACCATCGCTTCACGCAGCACCAAATTGATGCAAGGAAAGGAAATCGGCAGCGAAATTCAGCGGCGTTACCTTTAGCGCATCAAGTTGCTCATATACCGGCAGCAGCGGCTGCTGTGGGGGGTTCCTGCGTGGCGGCAGAATCTCACGGCGCACGGATGAGAAAAAAATGCCGGCATACTGGCCTCTCTCTCCCTCCCCACCAACACCTCCTCCAAAATAAAAAATCAGCTGCAGCAGGCGGGTTTTTTTTTTTTTTTTTTTTTTAAGGCGTCGATCCCGCCTGTCGACTCTCCTTCAGTTTTCTTCCCAGAATTATTTTTTTTTTCTCCGTTTGCAGAAGCGCCAAAATGTTCACGACACAGAAGCAGTGTGATGGTGTGGTGGGTAACTCTGTGCGTGCCGTGTGTGTTGCTCTCTCTCAGTCTCTGTCTCTCCTCCCGGGTGGACTCTCTACATTTTTCATCACAATCTGTGTTGCTACTGCTGTGACAACACTTCTTTCTTCACATCTTGGAGCCAAATTAATGGTTCCCAACCGTGTGCGTCTCCCCACCCCTACAAAATCCGTCACATTCACTCCCAAAGGACCTGACATGGCATTAGTTATTCTGTTTTTACCTCCTTTTTTTTTTTTTTTTTTTTTTTTTTCCCCCCCCGGTTTTTTCCCCCCGGGCCCCCCTTTTTTTTTTTTTTTTCC